GCCATTTGGCGCTCGGTTTCGTTGGCATCACGTACGACTGTACACATCAGCAGGAGTAGAAGCAGCAGGAGTAGGAACTGTTGGCACTGCCATCGCCGTCTCCTCATCAGCATCATGTTGTTCTTATCGTGTGTGTGTGTGTGTGTGTGTGTGTGTGTGTGTGTGTGTGTGTGTGTGTGCGCTCGTGAGCTCTGTGCAAATCCAAATCCATTTTCACCAAATTCCATTATGCGTGCGTCGTAACTGGAGCACAAAAGTATGCAATATGTCCCCGCATTTCGTGCACAAAAAGAGAGAAAATATAAGAAAAGCAATTATGTAGAAATAATATCTTCAGTCTCGACACGCTCCCTGAGTGAATTGTGAGCGCGCGCTGAGTCGATTGTTTTTACTTCCAAGAAACGAACCACCTTCAAATAGGCTCAACACCAGCGCTATTTATAGGCACCCAAGTACTTACATCTTGTGCCGGCTTCGTCTATAGAGCGATCTGATGATTGACGCGTTTGCCAAATACTTTGGATTGCGGCAGGCTGAGAGAATTTGCCGAATAATGTATTTGCGAATATTAAATATGCATGCCGCGTTGCCGCCCACCGCCCAATCAAATGCCGAGCTCAAGGCATACAAACGAAGGCTAATGAGCGAAACAGCGCCGAGTTTCATGAAAGCGATGCAAATATTAAAGGGAATTCATATCTCAGGGCTCTCGTAAGTAATTATGACTATGACTCAACGTCTATCGCAGCGCTTAGCGGTTGTTATTCATTTGAATAATATCAAACTCATTGCGCACAGAAATTGATATGACAGTGTGAAAAGAATGTGCAACAGAAATGGGATTTATAGAGAGAATAAAGTTTTTCTTTTGAGGTTTTTCTTTTGGTACGAATGGAGTATCAGATGATTTAGCAGCTGTGCCTCGCCTGCTGTGGCCAAAGACTCCAAAAAGCATATTTCGACTTTGCTGTGTCTCTTCTCTCAATATTCATTGCCGTCCCAGCCCAGGTATTTCCCAGCTCACACCCATATGTCTGGCTGTTGGCTTAAGATTTAAACGATGTCATTGAAACTTTTCAGCTGGGCGATAAACTGTCTGCAGCCAGGTTACAAATAGATTTCACGCTCACAAATTGCCAAAATTTGCAAGAAATTATTTTGTTTTTGAATTTATAAATTGCGTACATATTTTGTAAATTTTATTTCAAATTTTCTCTAATACTAAATAAAGATAAATTGAATATTTTAATAGCTCAATAAAATCAATAATAGAAATATTTTATGAGTTTCACGCTGGCTGTATCATTTTATATTTTGCTGACATTTTTAATGCAAAATTTGATAAATAATTGGCAAGATTAACATAAAATTTCATCACAACAATATGTTTAATCATAGAATTATTTGCTGAGTTTTAATAGTATCACTCTTAGTGGGGGGTCAGTGGGCCTCCGCACTCATGCCATCAATTTACTTAGTATTTAAATTTTCCTCTCAATTGTTTGCGCATATTTTCTAGGCGTCATGGAATTTATAATTGAATGACAAGATTTATACAATATTTGCAGGGCTTAATAAAAAGAATAATTTGAATATTTGCTGAACCATAGTCTTCTTAAATAGTATGACTCCTGCTGGTTCACTCTACATATATTTTGATGACAAGAATGTATTTGACAGAAGAGATAGAGAGGGGGGGAGGGAGAGAGAGGGAGCGCGAGCACTTGAAATTTATCTACATTTTTACTTCACTCACACGTGCTGTGCAGAGCCCTCTTTGTTTTCCTTTCTTTTCTTCAAAATAAATCTTCAAAGTGTGAAAAAAAGGAACCTTTTTTCGTAAGAAAGCGCAACTTGAATCGCTCTCGTTTGGCATATAAAACACGAGCATGGCCCTAGCGGCTCATAATCTGTGCAATTTGCGTGCGTTTTATGCGATTTTTGTTACAATCATTAGTGGCTATAAAGCACACCCACAACCCCCACACACACGTGTGTGTGTGCAGATGAGCATGTGTGTGTGCAACATTTATATGCAAATTGTGAGCAGCCCTTGAGGCAGCAGCAGCTATAGAGTCAAAGTTAGTGTCATGTGGCACATTCTCAAGCAGGTGAGAGAGCAGGGAGGGAGGATTGTCGCTAGTTCATAAACTAATTAGCTAATCCAACACTAATGGTAAATATGTAGTACTTTAATATTTACTCTGCATTTGTTAATTTGCCAGAATGTCACATGTCCGTCGTCCGTGCAGCAGCTGTATCTCTTACTGCTGATTGGCAGCCCGGCCATCAGCCGAGGAAAGCGAAAAAAATTATCCAATTTAAAAGTCAAATGTCATTTTTTGTTTGCCGCCATTGCCATTACATTATGTGAGTTACCTAACAAAGGTGCTACTTCAGCAGCAGATGAGGCAGAGGCGGGCCGGGCGGGGGGCGTTCGGGTCGAGGACGACGACTGCATAAGTCGAGTGGAGCATGACAGAAACAGTGCGACTGGCGGAGAGACATTTCATTTTGCTGGCAATGCCAAAGCAGAGCACAAAAATTGCGTGAATTTCATTTAACGGAGCAACTTTGTCACCAGACGAGAGACAGAAAAAGGCGAAAGGCAAATGGACGACAGGCAGTAGGCAGGAGTGGGCAGGAGTGGGCAGGAGTCGGCAGGAGTAGGCCGTAGGCAGACGCCTACCACGCGAATGCGTTGAGTTTGTTAATGTGTTTGCATAAATTTCAACAGCAACAGGGCTGAGTGAAAACTTGGCTAGCACGGAATAAGCAAAGTATATTTATATACATATATACATGTATGTATATAGTACTTAAGGACATCTGGCTAAACAACAACAGCAGCAGCAACCAGCTGCCAGAGGCATGAAGTGCGTTGCTACGTAGTTTGTTGTCGAAAGTTTTCGTAGCCAAATCCGAGGCAACGTCGCATGACAAGACTTGTATGATTCAATTTGTTTAAACTTGTAGGGGCTCAAAGAGCTTGTCGCCTCGGCGTGCGCCCCGCTGAACATTAATCAGCCTAAACATGGCATATGCATCAGCAGCTATCTATAAGGTGGGTAATTGCCTGAACTTTGATAAGAGTTCAGCTAGTTTACAGATTGCACTCGCCTCTCTTGCCCTCTCTCACTATGTATGTCTGGGTATGTGTGGCTGTCGGTCGACCAACTCAATTCCCGCTGCTTGTTCGAAAAATGTCCACCTGCTGTGTGGAAAGGTTAAGTGCACCAGCTGAACTCCAGCCCTCCGGGCGCTGAAATGTTTGTTTTAGTTGCCTTTGGAACGAGTCGTGCGATAGGATAAGAGGGGGGAGGGAGGGCACGTGTTGGTTTCCCCTTTGTCGCAATTTCGTCGTTTCCCGTAATGCATTAGCGCTGTCAGGCGCCTCATGTCAACGGCGCCGGAAACGTGGCACAAAAGTTGCGGCGCGTGGCAAGAACCGGATATGTTCGGGGTTTTTACAGACAAACATATCAGCTGCGCTGCCAATTGATATTTGCTTTTTGGCATATCGTTTCCATAAAATGCCAAAGGCTTCAACTTTCAATGCTTGACGCAGCTGAAAAACAGCTAGCTGTAGCTAAAGTTTTAGCTGCTCTGTTTTTGTTTTACAGCCACATGAAAGTACTATGAATATAGATTCGTCAAAATCTCAATAGATACGCTGATTTGATTGTGTTGCTGTGAGGCGCAAATATTTATGAATCGCACGAAATTCACAGAGAATAGCTAAATTTAATCAGCGAGCATATGCATTAGGCGCAACTTTCTCTGGCGGTTCAGGAAACTCATTTGCGATAGGAAACACCAGACAAAGCATTGTGCAGAGGGGCGCTAGGATTGGGTGTCAATTTCTCCAGCTTGATCGAATTTTCTTTGCCATTTTCATAGCATAAGCACACACACATGCACACACATGTGTGTGTATATGTATGTATGCATGCATGTATGGCTTGGTATATCCCAAACGTATTTCGTTGAGATTCTGTTGTTTGTGTCGCCTGGGCGCAATTTTTATGGTTCATAAAACCCGAAATTAGAAACTGCCGCTACACACACACACATACACAGTCACACACACATACACAGAGTCACTCCCACACACACACACACACATCCCACTAAAGCGTGAAAATCTGGCAGTCCACAGTGGAAAGCAGCCACGAAGTGGATTTTCTTATTAGTATTACATTTAAATGGCATATAATTTGTTTGCGTCATAATATTTATGTAGCCTGTGTCGCTTCCCGCTTCTGTTTGTTGTGTATATATATTTATGTTCACTTGGCTGCTGCTGTTGTTGTTGTTGTTGCTCTCACGACAACAAGCCGCTGGCAATGCGTATTCGTGGCCGTGGCTTTTGTGCTTTGGCGCTGCTCAAATCCCAAGCGCAAAATCATGATTTTGCCAGCTTAGAAATCGTGTATAATTTGTAAGTGCCTGCACAATGCAGCACAGCAGCACGCGGCGTATACGCAATGTTGCGCTGCAAGCACTTGAAATGGGTGTGAATACGTGCGCGTGTGTGTGTGTGTGCGTGTGTTAAGGCTAAAACAAAAACAATTTCCTATTTATCTTCAGCTTAGATGCCGTTGTTGCGATGCTGGCGTGTGGAAATTTTTAATTGCGGCTTTAACAGGAGCTGCCAAATGGCCTCCGCTTTTGTTGGCCCTTTGCGTGTTGGCTCTGAAGTGCTTGTCATGAAACTGGCCTTTGGCACATAAAAATGCGTTTTCTTTACGCCAGCTCTGCCATTTATTTGCACACACAAAGACAGCGGACGAAGGGGGGAGAGAGGAAGTAAAAGCCAGCACTGTGTATATAGAAACATTTTCAGAATGTCCTTGAGCCAATCTCCTTTGAAGACGCCAAAGAGCAAAATTCGCATAAATCAAGGCAAATATTTTGCTTACTCACATCGAGCGACTCGAAGTCTAATCAGGACTTTCCACGTTTTTTTTTCTCTCTTTGCAGTCTTTCAGTCGATTCGGCAGACAAGTTGCAGCAGCAGACGGTGCAGCAGAAATGAGCTCCATAGCCGCGTCGCCGGTGCCCGCGGCCCAGCGCTGGTCGCAGCCTAGCTGTGGGGGCTGCCAGGTCAACGCATTGGCTGTGGCCCTTCGAATCTAGAGGGGGTAAAGGTGACCAGCTAAAGCCGAACGTGAGATTGAAACGATCTAACAAAGCTAACGATCAACCCTGCTCATCAGCGTCCCACAAATTGCAACGCCTAAAGTCGCTGAGCCGTAAAACGTCCGCCTGCAGTCGCTGACAATGCAGTCGAGAGCCTCTCTTCCGCTGCTGCTGGTGGTGCTGCTGGTGGTGCTGCTGCTGGGGCAGGCAGAGGGCGAGCTGGCCTCCAGTTCTGGACTTGATGCACCACAGCCGGCACGCGGGCGCATCAAAGCGAAAGCGGAAAACATGTCCACGCTGGCATCCAGCACGGGCGAGAGCTTCAACATACGCCACGGCCGTTCCCGGGCGCACATGCTGCACCCCAGCACCAGCAGCAGCAACATGAACAGCACCCGATTGACTCTGGTCAGCGATGTTGGCAAGCCCGCTGCGCCGGCAACGCCAATGCCGCCCACACAGCAGCCGGACGGAGGCGGGGCGCCAGTCACGCATAAAATTCGCAAATTGCACAAAAAGAAAATCAACGAGAGCATACGGAAGAGCGTGGACAAGAGCCTGGGCCTGGTGCGAACGGTCAAGAATCATCGCAGCCTGGCCGAGGCCGAGCACCTCCAGGGGCGGCCCACAGATGTCGATGATGGGGACGAAGAGACGGCGGCGCTTAGTGAGATTATGCAACTGGCTGACGAGATTGATTTGGAAAACTCATTAGAGTCAGCTTATCCGAATGCTGTGGCCGTCGAGCCAACGAGCACGCAGCCGACCACGGAGATTGCAAGGAGTCCAGGTGCTGGGGCAGCAACGGCAACGGCAGCAATGGCAGCGCCAGCAGCTGGCCGGCAATTTGTGCGTGCCAACAGTGATGATGCCAATTATGAGGACAGCGGCGAGAACGATGAGCTGTCAACCACGGAAATGGCAACATTTGCGCCTCGTCAGCCAGCCGCAAATGGAGCGAAGAGCTGGCAGCTGCAACAGACCCGAGTCCTGGGCCGCACCCGACTCCTGCCCGTCAACCAGAGCAACAGCCGGCCATTCGCTCTCAATGTTAATGCGCCCCTGAGCAGTGGAGCGATGGATTACCAACTTGAGGTCGCCGAGTCGCGCAGCGCTGACAATGACGAAAGCGGAGATGGCTACGATGCCGATGATGAGGATGTGGCGCTGGATGAGGCGACAGCTGCGGCCCACGAGGCTGGCAACAGCAGCGTCTACAGCGCTGCCGAGTGGCCGGAAGCGGAGAGCGGGGTGAGGTCCCAGGCCATCACCAGTCAGCAGGATAGAGAGGGTCTGGTTGTCAAGCAAATCAACTTTAATTTGGAGTCCGAGTCCGGATCCGAGTCCGGTCCCGAGTCGGAGGTGGAGTCGGAGACGGAGACGGAGACGGACAGCATGTCCGTGCTAGACACTTCAGAGGTTACCATGGACGACGGCTATCCGCCGGAGGTGCTCATTGACGACAAGACAAAGCCACTGGTTATCGGCGATGTGGAAGGCGATGGCGTGGACTCCAATCAGATAACGGCCGATGTGATAAATGCGCGCGATAGCAAAATTGACTTGGTATCCAAGTTTCTGCAGTATATCGAACAGCAGCATCTGATGGGCTCCAACTGCGTGGCGGGCACATCGCTCAATCTCGGCGAGGGCGTGGTCGACCGCTATGCACAGGATCGATTTCGTGTGGAGGCCGAGGTGGCCGTCAATCGGGCCAACATGCTGACCAGGTGAGTCGCCCAGCCACACGCACTTCACACTCCATTGCCACCACCCCCACCCCTCACGATTATTCACATGGCAAACTTTTCCAATCGAAACTTGGCCAGCGGCAACAGACGTCGCGCTGAACTCTGGCCGGTCTGGCCACGCATATGGCCGGAAAAGCGCCCACATCTGTTCGCTGGCCAGCGAGTCCTGGCAGAGTTGACCTCGTGACAGGAATAAATAGGGGACAGCAGCCAGACACTTGCATATGTCCATACCCAAATACCTCCAACAGCATTTAGCCAGCACTTGGGCCAAATAGTTCTGTCAATAATAGTTGAATAAAGTTAGCGCACAAACTTTCCGAGTGATAATTTAGGTTTGGCAAATAACTAAATACTTTTATTAAATATATAGCAATTGCTTACCACTACGATATTAAAGTTAGCACATTAATCAAATCTTATAGCCGAAATTTGGTATATTGAACTGTCTTTAATATATTCTTAGTGGAATAATTAATTAGATATGATAATAATGGACTTGATGATTTATGCATACAGGGCTGTTCATATTAGACGGACCGATCTGGCAGCCCAACAAGGCTGTATTATTTAATATTATATATATTATATAGGGCTGCCAGATGGGTTCGTCGAATATGGACATCCAAGTATTTTATGTTTACATTTTTCTTTAATATAAAAAATCCATTTAATATTATATACTGATAATTATATATTTAAGTCAATTAACGTAGCAATAACTTATTTCCTATAAGAGCCTAAGCTCCCCTTAAGGTATCATAAATAATATTTCTATTCATCCATCAATGGCAATTATGTCAAATATTATCCAACCATATCATAGCTTGCAATCAAATAAAATTCTGCACCGTAAATTGGAATTTACATTCGACTAATCCTGTAATGCCCGAACTATTCCCTGTATTAGCTATTTATTCCAGTCATGATTTCATTTAGCATATTTAATATATTCCACGCATGATTCCATTTGATGCTTTGCATTCAGACAAAATGTTTTCATCAATACTCAAATTATGCAAATAGCTCAACAACTGCGCAAGTGAGAAAAGAAAATAGTTTGGCTAGCAGCAGGCAGACATGAGCTCATTATATAATTTCCTACATACATTAGATATGATATGATATGGGCTCAATTAACTTACACTCACTTGTCGGTCGGCAACTTGGCTCGAAGTTGTCTGCAGTTTTGATAAAAGTTCAATTACTTAGTGAATGCGAAACTGCGCCAACAACTAAGGCCAAGAAGAACTTGGTCAACCAAGAAAAAGGGAAAAAGAGAATGAAAAAGAAAGTCGAGGGCTTTGATTTACTTTGACAACCGCAACAATGCCGATATTTTTGTTGTTTTCTTTGTGGTTCATAGAAACTCGCAGCTGTCGCTGTGAGCACGCCCAGTTCTTGCCCATTCCAACGTGGAATCGTACGCTCAAGGACATGCCGTAGCTACTGAACTCTGCCGTTCAGCATCGAACATCGAACAGTTCTCTCGAGCCAGCAGCTTGAGCGACATTTGTTCCACTCTCCCTGGTCAGTCGGGCGCAATAAATGCCAAAGTTTTCTTCATGGCGCATATGTGGGCTCCCATGAACGACTGTTGTTGTTGTTGCTGCTGTTGTTGCTGTAGCCACCTGCATGTGACTGGGCTCCTTGCAGGACATTAGACATTGAATATATGTTGCTTTCGGTGAAAAAGCGTTTCGATTTTTTCCCTCTTCGATTTCAGACACTGACCAAACGTAAAGAAAATGTCAGCGAGCGGCGACTCATGTATTCACAGTTCTCTTATTCTCTGCTTTTTCTCTACTTTTTTTGTGGCTCTCCCTTGGCTCCCACATAATTTCCTATCGCAGATAAGAACTTTTTCGTCCAACTTTGTGCGTCGTGCATCGATGCGACGCGTTTGTGCGTCCCGCAGCATTGATTAGAGAGCGCTTAAATCACAGACATTTGTTCACCTACAGTAAAAGTAATTTATTACGAACCAGACGACAAAATGTGCCAGAAAAAAGAAGAAGAAAGAAAACAATTAGACGGCAAGCAACGAATGGCAAATGCTCTATGGCTAGAACAGGTAGCTAAAACAAAGATTGGCCAACTGAAGGCAGCCCCAGGATTTATGACTTCCTTTTCAGCTTCGCCAGATGCAAGCTCGACTCAGTATGAGTTTATAGCTCAATAGAGTTACAATTGACTTGACAGACTTTAAAGGGAAATTGAAAAACCAAACAGAGCAGACAGACGGCAAGAGTAAAGCTGACAAATGCCGCAGGCCAATCGACTTATTAGCTGACAAATCAGTCACACTTGCCCTCAAATAAACAATTAAGCGCACAAACAGCATGACAAATCAAGTGGATCGCGAGCCACAACAATAAAATGCTGGCAATGTGAAATGCCAATAAATTATATTGTATCCAGGGCAGGATCAACATTATTGCACTTAGTGTCATATGCTAGACGTTTGCTTTCATTACGCCGGGCTAAATGTGACGTCGATGTTGCCCTCCGGGAACTGTTGCTGCTCGAGCGCTAAGCTGTCGCTGATTTAGCTAAACTCCCATTTAAGCAGAGTCGAAGCACTCATAATAATCTGGCAGTTATTCATCAATTATTTTAATCAGTTCTCGATAGGTCGCCAACGCAATTTGTTTTCTATGCAAACATAATCAACGACTTCCTGTCGCCCACGCGACGCGGCAGCTAGGGAAATCCGAAGAAAAACACCCCGACAATACCTCAAAAGAAAGGAGCAAAATAAAAACAACAACATCCGCTGCAGACAACGCCAAGTGGGTGTGGCTGTGGGTGGCTCTAAGTGGTGCTCTGAGTTGTGGACCCTTTTAGGTGCGCACACGTACAGACAAACTAATTGAAGTTATTGTTTAGTGATACAATTTGTTGTTGTTGTTGTTGTTGTTGCCATTGGCGTTGGTGTTCGGAGTTTGTGTCTAAGCATTTCCGTTTATTTGTTACGCAAACAAAAACAAAGAAGAACAGTTAAGGAACACACAGCGACAACAACAGCAACAGCAACAACAACAAGAGCCAAAAAGCAGCAAAAGAAAAGCGGCAGGAAAAACAATATCAATTCAAGTTGAAATTACGAGCTTCAATTGTTTTCTTGCCTTGGCCACTTTTTCTTTTAGTTGCCACAAAAGTGTTGCCAGCCAGCCAGCCAGGCTAAGCACACACACACACACACATTTACACGTACACACCTTGTAGAATGAACAAAAAGAGTTGGCAAACTTTTAAGTACTTAAATGTGTTGTCGTCGCTTGAGTTTTAGCTCGAGTGGCGCTGCCCTCTGCATCCGTCGACATCCTGCATAGAACTTGAGCTGAAATTGAGTTTCCGGTTTCTTGTTGTTCGGCAATGGAAATGTTTTTGTTTCTGTTTGCTGCCAGCTCTCTTCGGCTGTTGTTGCCGTCTCCTGCTGCCCTCTGATGTCTCCTGCTGCCCTCTGCTGCTGCTGCTCTGCTGCAAAGTCGCGTCTTCAGTCAGCAATTCGCTGCGATTTTCTGTTTATCTTGAACTTTTCCGATAAAGTGACGCATGCAAATAAATCGGCCGCTGCTTCGCTCGTATTCAATTTGTCGTGCAACATTTGGTTTAAGACTGAGCAGGGCCTGGCGGGGTCGGCTGGGTGGCAATTGTGTTGCCAGGCGCTGTTTGAGCTCGCGTATTTGTTTTCAACACAAATCGAAATCTGCATAAGCGATGTGCAACGGCAAAGGCTGCAGAAGGAATGGCAAATGGCAAATGGCGAATGGAGAACGACGAATGGCGGAGGGCGAATGGAAATAGCAATTGCAGCGACCAATTGCCCGCCCGCGGCAATAAAACGCAACTGAGATGGCGTTGTCGGCGCTGACATGACAACAACAAGGTCGCCGCCACACACAGAGCGCGGCCTGGCCTGATGCTGAGCCCCTTGCGTGCCATTGTCAACATCCTTCAAAGTTTGCCAGCGCAAACAAATAAATATGTAAGTTCATGCAGCCAGAGAATCAGCTACAGCTGTATCAGATACAGATACAGATACAGATACAGATACAGATACAGATACAGATACAG